CAGCACTCACATCAATTTATTTGGCAGTTTTATGTAAGAGTGACGATGTAAAGGCATGTGGATATGGAAAAATATTGGAGCCACTTTTACATGATCTTGTTACACTAGAAGAGCATGGTGTGTTCATTCCAAAGCTTGGAACTTTTGTCAAAGGAACAGTGCATAGTGTAATTGCTGATAATTTGGGCGCACATAGTTTGGCTGGCTTCATAGAGAGCTTCTCTGGGCAATATATTTGCCGATTTTGTACTGCTCAGAAAGTAGAGATACAGTCAAAGGATGTTCATTCAGGTGCTTTTTGTCTACGAACCAAAGAAACACATGACGCACATCTGAAGATTGCCCAGGATACTCAAACGAGTTGCTTTGGAGTGAAGAGAGCTTGCCCTTTGACCAAACATCTTCAACATTTTCATGTCAGCACAGGCTACCCCCCAGATATAGTACACGATTTGTTTGAGGGCATTGTCCCATATGAACTAGCACTGTGTTTGAACATTCTGATCTCCAAGAAGTTTTTCAGTTTGGATGATCTTAATACGCGTATACTCAAATTTCCTTTTAAGTGGAGTGACAAAAAAAATCGGCCTCACACGATACCACTTACCTATTCCAGAAGGAAAACGATAGGTGGCAACTCACATGAGAATTGGTGCTTAATACGTTTCCTTCCATTTCTCATAGGGGACCTTATACCAGAGGATGAGCTCTCTTGGCAAGTAATACTAGATCTGAAGGAAATCGTAGAGTTAGTTGTGGCACGTGTTCACACGCACGAGACCATCGCGTACCTTGATGTCAAAGTGTCTGAGCACAGACACAGGTTGCTTGAACTTATCCCCTGTGAGACGCTGAAACCCAAACACCATTATATCGAACATTACTCACACTTGATCAGGTGCTTCGGGCCTCTTGTGGGTGTATGGACGATACGGTTCGAGGCCAAACACAGTTTTTTTAAACAAGTAGCTCGACACACAAATAATTTCAGGAATATTGCACTTACTCT